GGCCTGGAGAATTCCATAGACTGTATAGTCCATGGGGTTGCAAAGAATCAGACATGACTGAGCAACTTTCACTTCACTTCAAGGGAAAGGTAAATCCTTGGGTATTAGAGAAGTTATAGCAAAGTGCCTAGCACAGTAGCACCCTTAAGAAACACTGCTTGATTCTAATGATAAGATATAAATAGCACATATCTTCTGCCCACAGAGTCTCTTGTCTGGGGGAAAAAATGGCATCTTCTGTTTTCAAACACATAATGGTATATTATGACAGCTTCTTATTCTTTAAAAAGGATTACCTGTGTGTAACATTGTTACCAATGAATAACAGGTAAAATTCTATAGCACAACACAAATAAATGTGAAATTAATAAAAAGTTCTACTCATCCCATGGGCTTTCCCAGTGGCTCAGATGGTAAAGAATCCACCCGCAGTTCAGGAGACCCAGGTTCGAGCCCTGGGTTGGGAAGATCCCTTGGAGAAGTGAATGGCTACCCACTCCAGTATTCTTGCCTAGAGAATCCCATGGACAGAGGAGCCTGGTGGGCTACAGCCGTGGGGTTGCAAAGAGTTGAACACGACTGAAATGACTTAGCACACATGCAAGACCTGAGGTAACACTATCACTTTTTAAAAATAGCAAACAAACTGTCCTAATTCCATTCTTTAATAACCTAAACTATACCCACTTATACAAAATAATTTATATTAGATTAGATTATATATACACTTATATATACGCACAATCACATTCACACACACATGCAGTGAGGTCTACTTTAAGGTGTTTGTTCTCTTTTATGGATTATGACTTGGCACAGTTCCATCTTTACACTATCCAATTCTGTTTTACATGTTTCTGTAGAGTTTACTAGTTTTATTTTCATAAGCTTTGTATACTCCTTGTTACATGCATCTTTCGGGCTTTTTAAAAATTATGAATGAAATCTTTCATTCATGTTTTCTAATTATTGTTTGAAATGGGGACAGCCAGTGACTATTACCTACTACTTTTGTAAACTGATTTATTTTTCTTGTAGCCTCTCAGTTCCCTTGAATTTTCCCAAGTATACAATCACATCACATTCAAATTCTACCTTCTCTGTATTTTATTTCATTCCTATATGTAATTGCATTTGCTAGCACATTCTGAACAATGTTAAATAACATGGGGACAGTGGATATCTTCGTTGTGTTCCTGATAGTGAGAGAAATGCTCCTATTTTTCATCATTAGCTAACTTTTAGTTTGAGCTATTTAGGATAACATCAAGAATCCAACTAGTTCTACTTTCTAATGGATTTTAAACATCAGAAATACGTGCAAAATTTTGTCACTCACTTCTCAGTATCTAGCAAATGATGTTTTTATTCTTTGACCTGTTAAAATGAATCATCCTTGCATTCCCATAAATAAACATCAATGGTATCTGTTCTTAATATTACTTATTTTCTAAATTATCGTGGCTGATTTTGAATACTCATTTTTCCAGAAGAAACCCAAAGTATAATCTTTAAGAACCAGGGTACCAATGAAATTAAAAGTTTGTCTTCTTTCCATTGTAAGGAGATTCAATATATGTTGATCTAAATAGAAAATTAGGAAGCAATCATTTACATAACCAGAATTACCTTAATTAGGGGTTCAGTTTTGAACTAATACATTACCTCTAGTACATGTAATTGTTTATAGATAGGTTACTCAATATCTCAGAGGCGGGATTAAAAGCAGACTAATAAAAATGAAACATCGGACAAAATAACAAAAATGAATTAGAATTTGCCTTTCTCTGTCTGACTTACTTCACTATATATATTCTCTAGGCCCATCCATGTTGCTACAAATGGCAGTAATTCATTTCTCTCTTAATATTTTATCACTTAAACATGGAATCTAGAAAATAATACAAATAAATCTATAAACAAACAGAAATAAACTCAGGGACAGAAAATAAACTTATAGTTACCAAAGGGATAAAAGAAAGGAGGGGCAAATTAGGAGTATTGGATTAACAGATACAAACTACTATACATAAAATAGCACAGGGAATTATATTGAATATCTTGTAATAATCTATAATGGACTACAATGTGGGAAAAATAACTGAACTACATCACTGTATATCCAAAACTAACATCATATTCTAAATCAACTGTACTTCAGTAGTAAATTGAGTGTTAAGATTTCACAGTGTACAGCTCAGAAGTCCCCTCAGTAAGTGTGGATCAGAATTTTTTAAGAGAATTTTAAATTAAGGGTCTTGCAAATGTTATGTCTTTCTTCCCCTAATATACTGTCCTTCACATCACAGCTTATAAATGCCTTAAGAACAGGCTCTCTACATTCTAAATTACTGTATTATTTAAACCAAGCCTAAGTCTTAAATAGACCTGGAAGTTTCCTAAGGATAATGTGTACTTAACACGTTAACTGCTGCTAGTAATAAAAACATCACGGTTTTCTGCAACCTGCTTCAGGGTTTGCATTGTCTTAGGAAATGGAAACCCACTCCAGTATTCTTGCCTGGAGAATCCCATGGGCAGAGGAGCCTGGCAGGCTACAGTCCATGGGGTCGCAAAGAGTCAGACACGACTGAGCGACTTCACTAATGCAATTTTAGAAAAATGATCAAACTTGCTCTATCTAAACTTTAAAAATATGTCTTTGATTAAATCATCAACAATAACAATGAATTAGTAATAATGGTGGTAAAGTAATATATAAACATTTAATGAGGGCATACTCTATTTCCAGGACTGTGCTTAGGTCCTTTACATCTTTTATTCAAATCAACCACAATCCTATTACAGAGGGATTGTGAACTCCAGTTTTTAAAGGTGAGGAAGCCAGAGTGAAGAAATATTAAGTACTTTCCCAAGATCACATTTATTCAAATATAAATCTGTCTGACTTCACATGCTACAATTTCTCCCACAAAATATACATGACTTAAGATGATAACGAGAGCTTGCTAAGTCGCTTCAGTCTTGTTGGACACTTTGCAACCTTATAGACTGTAGCCCGCCAGGCTCCTCTGTCCATGGGATTCTCCAGGCAGGAATGCTGGAGTGGGTTGCTGTGCCCTCCTCCAGAGGAATCTTTCTGGCCCAGGGATCGAACCCATATCTCTCACATTTCCTGCACTGGCAGGCGGGTTCCTTACCACTGGCACTACTTGGAAAGACGGGAAAGTGACAGTAAAAATGTTGGCTGCTCAGTCTTTGTATCCCATGGATTGAACCATGCCTCCTGCATTGGCAGGCAGATTCTTTACCGCCATGCCACCTAACCTAAGATGAACTATAGCAGTCACTCAATTTCCAATTGCTTCCAATAGTGAAAAATCAGATGTTACTCATTTTTCTCTTATTTTTAGTCGTTTAATTTTTTGCAAAAGCAGAGAAAGAAAATGCCATAGAACATTTAAAAATGAATTAAACTAATGGAATTACTGTTGCTATATAGCTCAAAAATTACAATAGACGATCAAAAGATCAAATTTAAACCTACATTTTAAAATAGGCATCTGCTGCATAAAGCTAAGCACCTACACACTAATTATAATGAAAATGCAATATTTTTAAACAGCATTCTTATAGATATTAGAACAATATATAGTTCCTTGATTCTATGATACTTATTTTTTTATATTTCAGAATCTCTGAACTGGATGCAATAGAATCTGTAATGATTATGTTTAATTCTTTAGTCAAATTTTTTTTCTCTGTTTGTGATGCATGAAATCATAAAGTAAGTTGAAACTTCGTGGTATCTTAAATTTGTTGAAATATAGGGAATACCAGCCTGAAGGGTTATACAAAACAATTTTATCTCTCCCTGCCTCTATATCCAATACATATCCTCTTTTTTAAAAATGTGATTACTACTTGTGAATTTTTTAAAAAGAATCAAATTTCAACTTAAGTTTGAGGCATTTGAGAAATTAAGAATTTACTGTGAGATGATCAGAGATAGCCCAGGGAGTTGCAAACTAGAGGTTGGGATGTCCGAGCAGACGCAGGAACCCATGCAGATGTGTGTTATGCGAGGAAGCAATGTGGACCAGTCCTTGGTGGAGTTAGTAAGTAAAATAACACCAAGCCTGCAGAATTCTCAAGGGACTGTATCCAGGAAAACAAAACAGGCAGTTATTCCAGCGTTTCTCCACTGAGGCTGTCAGCGTAGAGAAGTCATTTGTTTTCTGTGTCCCCATCTCCTCCCTTCTCACTCAGCCCTCCTGGAAGATCAGAAAAGGACCAGAGAATTTCCCTCTCCCCCAGCATCAACTCCTGCTCTACTTCTCTTCCCCCCGCAAGTTGGACAACAGAGGACCAGCTAATACTTGTTCTCCACAGAGCCCTGGATCCACAGATGGGGAGTAGGGGATCTTCCCATTCCAAAACCCAACATAAAGGAAGCAGCCAGTAGAGAATCCTGTGAGCAGAGAGGATGGTTTCTAAGGCAGGGAATTCAAACTAGCACACTGACTCACTGAACCACAAACCATCCCTGTCCTCCTTCCAAGAGTGAATTTAAATGCCTCCTCCAAAATAAGAGAAAGAGAGAGAGGAAAGGGAGAGAAAGGAAAGAATATTTGCATGAACACCGCTGGTCACTATAATTAACCACTCAGTCATGTCCGACTCCTTGCAACCCCATGGACTGTAGCCTTCCAGGCTCCTCTGTCCATGGGATTCTCCAGGCAAGAATACTAGAGTGGGTTGCTATTCACTTCTTCAGAGGATCTGCCAGACCCAGGGATGGAACCCAGGTCTTCTGCATTACAGGCGGATTCTTTACCATTTGAGCCACCAGGGAAGCCCAATCAACCATTACCAACTTCAAAAGAATTCTGCTAATCCCTCAAAAAAAATTCTCTTTAGCTCTCTTACAAATTATTAAAATAAAAAAGAACAAAGTCAACAGCACTTAGCCAATTTTAATTTTCAGTATTAGCAGAGTCAGTGAGGGCCCTTGACTTATCATCTCAATGTGGACTCACCTTCTGCACAGCTGCTTGAAAAGCCTGTTTAATTCTCTTACACGAATCAGGTATTAATTTTGAGTCTTGACTCTCCAGAGTTGTGTCTTGCAAATCCGTGTTTTCATGGAGCTTGAAAATTCTATTAATGCAGTGAGTGTCATCTTCTGATATTCTGTTAGGATCCATCTGAGAGGGGAAAAAAGTGTGAGGACATAAGAGTGGTTATCGTTGATCATTTTGCTGTTGGGTCAAGTATGACTAAGACAACAATTAATTCTTGAAAGAATGAATGCAGGTCCCCAACAACTAACAACTAATACAATTACCCTTGAGCTGGTGCAAACACTGACTTCTAATTTGTTTTTATGAGTCTCTGACTATCATCCACAACACACGCGTACACATGTAATTCATGGGGAAATTATCAAAATTGTCTGATGTTATTCAAGTCCTCACTGAGGGGAAAGGCATCGATGAAATTACCGGTGTTGAATACAGGAAGAGCAAGCCTTTTAAGTTCTAAGGAGCACGCTATGTGGGATTATGAAGCCCACTTGGATATTCAAAGCATGAAACTTACATAAATCAGGTGAAATTAACATCATGTTCAGCTGCCATGTTGTCCTAGCCTTTTCCCTTAATCAATGTGTGTTTTAATCAGCCGAAGAAATCCATTTCCTAGCCCCAGAGAAAACCTGAAGCCAGAAGCAGTTTCCCTTTTTGTTGAACCTCTAACCAGTTTTCTCAGACAGGAGAGCTACATCTGTCAGAAGGTGACTGAAAATGTGTTTGGTGATACTTGGTATCAGCTGGGGTGAAGAGGGCTCATGAGCAACCTATACATATTCATGCTGAGGGAATGCTAAAATTCTTGAAGTGTGTGGGGTAGTCTCACCCAATATATCTCCACAGAGTTATCAGCTGGTCGCCTAATTACAACAGGTACCAGCACAAGCATTTCTTTAAGCATTACTCTTAAAATTGTCTGCCAGCTCCTCCTGGGGCTCTGACGAGTCTTTGTACAGGTTTCAACTGCCAAGTAGAGAGGAAAAGTAATTAGCTACCTAATTGTTTTACTAATAGTCGCTAAATTTATCATTCTCTTCTTTCAAAAACTTCAAGGTACTTCATGTGCATTTGCTTTTTAGGTACAGGCTAGATTAAAAAAAATTTAAAAAGGAGGGGGGGGAAATTACATAAGTCTGCAATATCCAAAGCACAGTCAATTAATACCAGGTCTCTCAATTCCTGGTTTAATTATCTTTCTAAAAGTCAGTAGAAGATGTGCAGGTTTATGAACCAGCTGTCAGAAGTAAACTAAGTACCCTACCCATATCCAAAACTCTCAAAACAAAATGATAACCTTTCAACAAATGTGCACCCACCAACGCAAATTTTATCATTCCACTCTTGTAAATTAAAGGATTGGTAACGTCTATAATCACGGGACAGGTGTCACTCAGGACGCAAAACTACTTGCAACCCATATTTATCTTTTATGTCTTTCAGATAATGAGTACAAATCATAATATCTGAGACTTCATATATGGCAAGCTTTCAATTCCACAGTTCTGTTAAAAAGCTCACTTACACCAGTAAGTTTCCCACAAAACCAGAAAGGCTTGGGCAACTGATGTGAAAGGTCACTGGGTTTAGACCTCAAGAAAGAAGATTCCTGCGAAGGCCTCAGCTGGCTCACCACCAGAAAGCCGCTGAGCTAAAGGGACCGTGTGGTATTAGTGGGGAAACGCCTGGGGACCCTGACATTGGTTCAGCTCCAGCCCTGCTGACAAGCTGAGCGCCATCAACAGAAACAGTAGTCCCCATGACTCTTGCTATGGGCAGTAAGTCCTGTCACCTTCAGCGTTACAAGCTCAGCCAGATTTTGTTAGAAATGCAGACGCCCGGGCCCCACCTCGGGCAGTGCCTGTGAATCAGCATTCTAACTCAGATCCCAGGTGATTCTCATGCACATTAAGGTTTGAGAAGTGATGCTTTCAAATACCAAAGGTACAAATATCAATTGTCTACTATTAAAGTGTCTCCAAATTTCCTTGGACACCCACTTTAAAGTTTTTTCACAAGTAAAACCAGCTAGCACAAAAATACTGATATGGTCAATGATGCCTAAAGGTTTAATGAAGAGAAACATGATGCAAAGATTTTAGTCTCTTTTCTCTTAAAAAACAGCCCGGCCCAGGTCCCACCCTGGGCCAATTTAATTAATATCCCTAAGAGTTGAGGTCAGCTGAATCTCTCTCCCCGAGTATATCTAACATGCAAGTGAGAACCACTGTTGCAGACAGTCTCGTTAGGACTTGTTTGTTGTTTAGTCGCTAAGTCATGTCTGACTCTTTGCAACGCCATGGACTGTAGCCCACAGTCTACATGCTCCTTTGTCCGTGGGATTCTCCAGGAAAGAATGTTGGAGTGGGTTGCCATTTCCTTCTCCAGGGGATCTTCCCGATCCAGGGCTCAAACCCGAATCTCCTACATTGGCAGGTGGATTCTTTACCACTGAGTCATCTGGGAAGCACAATTAGAGCTAAACATATATAAATATCACCAGTTATTTTCCCAAATGAAAGTGTGATGTCATTAAGTTTGATATTATACTCACTTATTTTGTTTACTTAAGGGTCATACATTAGAAACTTACTTTTAAATTTTATTTTATTGAATTACAGTTAATTTGCAATGCTGTATTATTTTCTAATGCGCAGCAAAGTGATTCCATTTTATATAAATAGATAGATAGATATAGCGGTTTGCATCTGCTAACCCCAAACTCCCAACCTATTCCTCCTACACCTTCTGTCTTGGCAACCACAAGTCTGATCTCTGTGTCTGAGTCTGTGTCTGTTTCATAGATAAGCTCCTCATGTTTTAGATTCCACATATAGGTGATATCATATGGTATTTGTCTTTATATGATTTACTTCAGTTAGAATGATCCATCCATGTTGCTGTAAATGCCATTGTTTCATTCTTTTTATGGCTGAGTAATATTCCATTATCTATATGTACCATATCTTCATCTATTCATTTGTCAGTGGACATTTGTTTCCATGTCTTGGCTAATGTAAACAGTGCCGCTATGAACATAGGGGTACAAGTGTCTTAGAAACTTATTTCTAACCTACAACCAAATGTCTTTGTTATTCCGGTGGCCTTGCAACTCTCCTTGCCTGCAAACGGAGACCAGGAGGAAGGGCGGGGCAGAGGTGCGGCAGTGCAGGACCAGCCATGTGCGTGCATGCTAGGTTGCTTCAGTCGTGTCTGACTCTCTGCACCCCATGGACTGTGGTCCACCAGGCTCCTCTGTCCATAGCATTCTCCATGCAAGTATTACCGGAGTGAGCTGCTATGCCCTTCTCCAAGGGGTCTTCCCCACCCAGGGATCCAACTGAGGTCTCCTGCAGTGCTGGCAGACTCTTTAACTATCTGAGCCTCCAGGGAAGCCCCAACTCACAGTAAACTGACTTACAAATGAGTTCACTGTACCTAGAAATGACTGAAAATATTAAGTGAATCTTGAATATCTGATCTAAACTGGACTTCAAAAATACGTTTATCAGATGGTGTGGTTTATATGAAAGTAACTCAGTCTGAAAGCTTCCTTGAAGCTTCATGGCTTGTAGGGTTAAATGAGGCAGGATGCTTGCCATCTGCGCTACTTTGTTTTCTGTTTTTTCAAGCCAACAGCCCACACACCTCCACATCAGACTTTTGGTGGTGATGGCTCTCCTTCTTGGGTAAAGAACAGCCCAGGGAGGTTGGTGTGCATGCTGGCGGTTTGGGGAAAGAGTTAAAAGGGAAGAGAGATTGAGTTTTCTGACAAACTTATCTTATAGCTAAGTTCTAAACTTTGAATATGGTTATATGGATGTTGTGTGTGTATATGTGTGTTTTTAAATACACATCAATATTTAAAAGTAACTTTTTGGAAGGGTTTTTTTTCTTTGTAAACCAAAGTATGAATACTATGTGGTAAATATATAGCACAAACCACATGCTATTTTTTCTTTGGCAAGGTTGGTGGGGGAAAAGCCAATCTACACTGGATCTAGTACTTTCATTTTTTTTTTTTTTCTTAATCTAGGCACAAACAGTCTGCAAACATTCAGGAGGCAGATTCACTTTTAACTATTCAAACATGACTTGAGAAAGGAAACTTGTTTTTGTCACTATAATTTTTTTCTTTTTTACATTATTTGGGGGTATTTTTCTAAATGCATTTAAAACTAAATTGAACTGTTTTCTCTTTGAGCTTTTTTAATGGGGTATAGCTAATTAACAATGTTGTGATTCCTGAGGATTTTCAGGACTTCCCTCTCTCACCTTTAAACAAAAACAATAAAACTGGCTCCATTTTCTTTCCTTTTCTTTTTTTTACTGTAAACTGCAAACATGCTACCTGATATTAGATGATTTCATTCTAACTCAAAAGCATTCAGGAATCCCAAGTAAGTGACCCACAAACTGAGTGGAAATCAAAAGTCTATCTCTTATTTGGTACCAAGTTCTCATCCAAAGGAAGTGATGTAAGTGAAAACGTTCAACCAGTGTCAGGTCAAACTGGGTCTATTCTCCCAGCTAGAACTTACAAAGAAGGCTTCCAGCAAATGTAAAAGTGTAAAGAATTGTAGACTGAACCTACAGGTACTGATCATGGAGTTTCAACAGTTAGCAGTACATCTTGTTTCATCTATAAGCAACCATGTTATTATTTTGAAACAAATTCCAAACATTCTATTTCATTTGTAACTTCTTCTGAATGTATCTCTAAATGTCTAGGACTCCTTTAGATATCATCCTCAGTAAAACCTAACCACATCTAGTGCGATAGTCCTATGAAAACATTGCTCCAAATATTACTTCGTTACTGAAGAAGGCAACTTTTAAAAAATGCAGCCCAAAGCTGGGTTCAGCATAATGGCTAATACATTGTGCATAAATTTTGAAGAATCCCCATCTTCATTACATCTAGGAAAACTGTACCCAGAAATTCAATGACATTAAATTCTCCAAATGAAATTTTTCTAGCCAGGCTTACTAACTTACATGTGGACTTTGGAAAAAATTGTTGAAAGTTTTCACTGTTATCCATGTGATGTCAAGACTGCTAAACGATCATGAGAAAGCGAGACTTCTCAGCCCACCAGACCACTAATACTGGGACTCCCTACAAAGAAGTCAATTTCTTCAACAGTCCAGCAAGTCATTGTTTTTGAAATGGTCACATTTCCATGGTTCCTGTCAATCTAAGCTGTTCCTGGTCCCTACAATCCATTCATCCCCTAGGTCTTTCAGTGCTGAATACTCACTTCACAATTCCTGCTATGAAAATGCCACAATGCTAAGGTGTTAGAAGAGATAAAAGATGGAGAAGCATTCTGGCTTCCCTGGTGGTCTAGTGGTTAAGACACCGCCCTTCCAATGCAGGGGAGTTGGGTTTGATTCCTGGTGAGGGAACTAAGAATTCACATGCCCCAGGACCAAGAAGTAAAAATTAATTAATTAATTAAATTTAAAAAGAGAGAACTACTGCATCTTCTCTTTTCTCAATGCTTCTCTCTTATTTGACTAGGAATTTAAAGTCTTTTGTTATAGTCCCCATCATTACCTGGCATCATGTGTGCAACACAGTAGGAGGACACTGTATGTTGACCAAACAATTCTTAACTCATATTCTGTACCATTGAATAGTGTCGTGTGCAGTGAAGGCCCTCAGTATATAAGTATTAAATGGGGGAGGGGGCAGGACCACACACCGGATGAGAAAATGGATATATCAGTCATTCTTGGCTGCAGCACAGTCCAATGAAAGAAAAATGTTTCATCACTTTCATATAGATTTGTGTAATCTAAAAGACCCTGATGCTGGGAAAGATTGAGGGCACGAGGAGAAGAGGGGTGACAGAGGATGAGATGGCTGGATGGCATCACCGACTCTATGGACATGAGTCTGAGCAAACTCCGGGAGGGAGACAGTGAAGGACAGGGAAGCCTGGCATGCTGCAGTCCGTGGGGTCTCAAAGAGTGGGACCGGACTGAGTTGCAAGTAAACTACTTGAAAGTTATAGTTTTAGAAAAACTTTCTCAACAGGAAAATATTTTTATTAATATACAAATTTTCTAAAATACTGTGCATAGTATGTCTACTTCTGTCTCAGTTCATAAACTAGTTCTACAAAATGCAAATTAGTGGATACTGAAAACTTGGCAAAAAGTCTATGATTACAAGTTCAGGACTCTGGCACATGTCAAAAACCTGTACAACCCAGGCAATGCCATGTTTCGATGCATCCAATTTGGTTTAGTAATCACCTTTGAATCTGAAAACCAATGAAGTCCAAACCCAACTCTCTTTTCCCATAAAAAAAAAAAAAAATGCACAGTCAGCCCCCCACTTCCTTTGAGAAAGAGTTCACAGCACCAGACAAGAATATTTGAATGAATCCAAGCAACTGCACAGCAATTTCCAAGAAAACACAAGAGCACAAACCACCAGAAAGCATAATGTTACAAATTTACCCCTTCCTTTCTACTATCTCTCTGCAGTCCCTAGCCGGTTTCCCCATCTTTGAAAAGCTTGGTTACTCGCTAGATCGTCGCCAGGCTGTGCCAGGGCAGAGAACTTCACCACCTCCACACACGTCTCGCTTCCTTCCTCCGCCCACCTTCGTGGGAAGACACGTGGGCCCTTCTCTCTTTTCACCCCGAGCGAGAGGAGCCCGTCTCCTAAGACAAGGCGTCCCTGGCCGCGCTGTGGCTTTCGGTCCATCTGCTGCTTTGGGCATCGCCACCCGATGCTCCAGAGGCTGCTCCAGCGCACGCACTGCGGCCTTCGGCTCCGCGCGCAGCCCCGCGCGGTGTAAAGCAACCAGCCCCAGGACCCCACAACCTCCCGGGGGTGGGTGGGAAGGGAAACGGCCGGTGACGCCTAACTGGAGACGCTCCATTTTGTTCCTAAGTGAACATCAATAAGTTCAATCTTTGCTCCAAGGAGGATACAGAAGGGGAGAAAAGTGCGTAATCGTTTCCAAAAGAGGTGAGCGACCAATGCGGTCTCGCCGGGGGAAATTCAAACGCACCACTCCGGGCGAGCCCAGCTTGGGCTCACCAGCCTGGCCAGGCTGCGCGCGCGGGAATTGAGGCCAGCGCTCGGGCCCCGCACCCGGCTGACCCCCAGTCCCACGTTCTCTTTTTTCTGAAGAGTCCCTTTCCCCTCCGGAATATGCAAGATCCGGGGAAGCCCAGCTGGGGGGAACCAAACTCCACCGCCTGCCAAGCGCTGGTGGGTCGAGGTGGGCGCGCCCCGTCCGCGCGCCCCTGGGGGGCGAGCACTCACCTGCGCTCGGAAGTAGAGGAACAGGGCGACGCTGCAGACGACCTGGCCCAGCCCCAGCCCCAGGAGGGCCACGAAGGTGGAGCGGGAGGCGGCGGCGGCAGCGGGGGTCGCGGGCGGCGGCGGGGCGTGCAGCGGCCCCTCGTGCGGGGCGCCCGCGCCGCCCATCTCCTCCGAGCCGCGCAGGTACTTGGTGTAGTCTCGGCTGGCGCGGCGCATGGCGCTCGGCCCCCTGGCTCGGGCGCTCGCCTCCCTCCGGGGCTGGGCTGCCGCGCGTTCAAGTCCGAAGGCGGCGCGGAGCCGGCGCGCGGCCTGGCGGGCCTCGACGCGGGGCGCTCAGAACCGGGCGCTGCTCCGGGGGCGCGCGGACCGGCGGGGAGGGCTCCCGGCCGCCCCAACTCTTATAAACCGCCTCGGGAGGGCTGGCCCCGCGAGCCAACCCGCCCCGGGCGAAGCTGCCTCTTCCACTCCCACCCCGGGCTCGCCTTCCTTCCTTTCGCCCTCCCTCCCTGCCTCTCTCACTGAAAGGCCTCCTCCCTCCCCGTCGGGGCCCTCGTGGGTGGAGGCTGTGGGTTGGTCCAGCGGTTCCCAGACACCACTTGCCCGTCGTCTGAACGTCGAGGAGATGGGCTTTCTGAAAGTCCAAGAGCTGGGTAGGGGGAGAGGCGAGGGAATGCCTGGTCAAGGATGAAGGTGTCATTACAGACGTTCCTGAGACCGTCCGCATCCCTGAACCTCAGTTTCCCCTACAGGATTTAAAAAGTCGGACTTGGTGCTTGGTGATGTCTGAAGGCCCTTCCTGTCTGTCTCACCTCCTCTTCCCTCCCACGACCACCACCCCCCCCAAATTTTTTTCTGCAGGAAGCATCCTCAGGAATACTGAGGGTGCAGCCTCTAGCATACAGGTTCCAAATATAGATTCTGATTATGTATTTTGGCAAGCTAAGGAAACCAGAACCCTCTCCCCCAAACCCCGGTTTCTGCACCCTCAAAGTGGCTTTAAATGAGCCAGATTTTGAATCTGGCAGCAGGAAGCTTATAGAAACCAAGTCAGACTTTAAAAAAAAGAAGAAAGAAACGGTACAGAGAGAGGATCCAGTAACGTCACATATAGGACCACAGATGTTAAGAGAGTTGGGTCATATGCCATTCCTACCGCTTAGGAGTTATTTTCCTTCAATGTCCTAAAAATAAGAGTATACACTCCGGAGGTGGGCCACCCAGGAGGGCCCATCCTGCTGCCAATCACGAAAGGAGAATGTTACACAAAGCTGAGGCGGCCTTAAATGTTGGGTTTCCTTGCTAAGGAAAACTTTCTGGGGCTTTTTAAAAGTCTCTCTTCAGAATTGTGCCCCTTGGTGAGAAAATGAATATATGAACATTGCTCACAGATTTTGATACTTTTTCAGTAGGAGAGAATGGAAGTGCTGGCCAACATAAACAGGGTTAAAAAGTTCGCATGTTTTCACTTTGTGTCCGTGTGTTTTAAGTTTGTGTCCTCTTTTTGCATAGTTTTCTAAAGGGCACTTCCAAGAGGGGAGATTTTTCACAATGGCACATCTCTGAGTCACCAAAGTTTGTGTTCTCAGTTGGTCCCTTAGAACTCAGCACGCTTTGGAGAAGAGCAACCAGGGTGGGTGAAAAAGGACCCAAACGAATGAAATGATTTGTTCAAATTCAGATCAAACCCAGTGCTCCGTGGCAACCTAGAGGGGTGTGATGGGGTGGGAGGGAGGGGACATATGCATACCTGTGACTGATTCATGTTGATGTATGGCAGAGACCAACACAATATTGTAAAACAATTGTCCTCCAATTAAAAATAAGTAAATTTTAAAAATTGCGTTTCGCATTTATATGTGTATGCATCTCAAGTTTGATGGGGTAAACGGGAAAACAGCTTTCAAACTCCGGTGGAGAAACAGCAAACATGAGTCTGTTTCACGAGGTCCTGGGTTTCTTCTTATCGTTTGTTCACTTTGGGAGATCAGGGTTGTTTCTCCTCTCTTCCTCTTCATTATTTTTCTTCTTTTGGGAAACAAGTCTTTATTTCATCCTTTTTGCAAATCTTTATTGAGTTCAAAGACTTTTAAAATGTGTGATAACTACTAAACCCGCAGTGATTTTAATGTATAGCCCTATCCATTCTTTTTCAGTGTTTTTTAAAATCTTTCTTTCTTTCTTTTTGGCTGCCTCGGGTCTCTCAGTTGGGGCGTATGAGATCTTTCGTTGCCGTGCTGGCTGAGTAGTTATGGTGTGCAGGCTTAGATGCCCTGGGCGTGTGGGATTTTAGGTTCTGGGCCGGGGATGGAACCTGTGTCCATTGCAGTGGAAGACAGATTCTTAACCACTGGAGCACCAGGGAAGTCCCATTTTTCAATGCTTTATACAAGTCTTTTATTCCTTGGCATCTTGCTCTTCAGATTACAAGGCGTTCCCTCAACTCTCTGAATCGTGTTTGGTCCAAACTTCCCTGGTGGCTCAGCGGTAAGGAATTTGCCTACCGACGCAGGAGACTCAGGTTTAGTCCCTGGGTTGGCAAGATCCCCTGGAGGAGGAAGTGGCAACCCACTCCAGTATTCTTGCCTGGGAAATCCCATGGACAGAGGAGTCTGGCAGGCTCCAGTCCTGTGAACGCTGTGAACATGGGTTCACAAAAGAGTTGGACACAATTGAGCGACTAAACAGCAACAACAACAAGACCCAGTAGCTTCATGTATAAGTCCCTAAATTACATTCCTACAGAATTCTTCATGTGACACTCTTAACTGCATGGCAGTTATTTTCCTTTCTTATCCCAAAGATGCCATCCCACGATGTTCCGACATCCACAGGCTGGATTGGAAAGTCCACTGTCAATCCACATGTTGCTTCTTCAATGGTAATGAAACTTTCCGACCTATTAATTTATGTGTTCATTTGGCAACATTTCACTCCCTAATTACTTGACATTCGCCTAATAAATGGGGTGGCCCCATGGTTGGCTTCATTTGGAAAATCCTGCATTAAACAAAATCACAGTAGTTGCACTTTGTTTAACACAGATCTTATCAGTGGCATTAATGTACACATGTATTTTGTAAATCTCCAATAATGGGATTTGAAATTCTCTGTTTTCCAAAGAGTTCTCATCTTTTTTCCAGGGGGAGGGAGGCTTCACATACCAAGTTTTTAAGCAACGAAGTTGGGTCAAAAAAAAAAAACAGATAAGAAACATCTATAGGACACGAATGGACAGTGCAACACAAATGGCCCGAATGTCAGTAAAACAGTCAGTAGCCAGGGGAACGGAGAGGGACTAAAGGAACCGGAAGAGGAGGGACCTGAACGAGGCCACGGAGGATGCTAAAGATTGTGTCAAACTGGAGAAAACCATTCAGATCGACTTATTTTTATTAATTTTGTATTGGAGTATAGTTGATTGACAGTGTTGTGTTAGTTTCAGGTGTATAGCAAGATGATTCAGTTATACATCCACATGTCTCGGTTCTTTTTCAAATTCTTTTCCCACTTAGGTTATTGCAGAGTATCAAGCAGAGTTCCCTGTGCTGTACAATACAAATCCTTCTTAAAGCATCACGCTGGCTGTCCAAGTTATCGCCACAGGCCTGCAGTTTTCTGTTCTTGCCAGGGCCTCCTGGAGTGCCCTTAAACCCCACTGGCCCATCAGGTGAACTCTCAAGCTGCTTACCGTGTCTTAGATCATCTTCTGGTTCCTACTGCCTTCCTGCTTCATGTTCTCCCCTCCAGCCTCACATTTTATGCCCCAGCGACACAGGACTGCTTGCACCCTCGCATTTTGTTGCCTTTGTGTGTGCTCAGTCACTCACTCAAGCCTGACTCTGCAACCTCCTGGGACCGTAGCCCGCCAGGCTCCTCTGTCCTTGGGATTCTCTAGGCAAGAATACTGGAGTGAGTTCCCATTTCCTCCTCCAGGGGATCTTCCCGACCCAGGGATCGAACCTGCATCTCCTGCATTGGCAGGCGAATTCTGTACCACTGAGCCACATGGAAAGTCCCTCATGCCTTTATATCTTTGGCTCATTCAATGTCATCTGCCAGGATTGATCTGCCCTGACTTTTTCACCTGGTTATTGCCCTATTTTCAAACGTTCAGTTAAGGTCCCTTGTCCTTATGAAGCTTTTCCTGCTAGCCCACCACCCCCAGGATGAGCACTACTTCTGATTCTTTATGACACGATGTGCATATGTTTATCATAGTTGTGAAACTTCTTTCCATGATCTTTCATTTTCTTCTCTGTCTCTGCCTCACCCACTAGACTGCAGGCTGCATGAGGTAAATCATGTCCTTTGTATTCCTTCTGCCTTCTCACAGTGCTTCATGAAGGTTTGTGGGATGAATGAATAAGTAAAAGAATATAATGTGTTTCTGACATTCTGATAACAGAGGGCTGAACACCAAGTATTAAATAGGAAACTGCCTCAAATAACATCACTCTCTAATTATACTGATAACCTAATTTAACTGGGGAAACACACAGCAAATGTAAGGGTCTGTCATACCTGGACAATAAGGAGGCATAAATATAGAAATTTTAATGCTAATTCTGTAAAATTTTAATATCAAGCTTATAGAACTTAAGAAAATTTGAACTTGGGTGATTTTCAGTTTTATATAATTATCTATACTGTAGCAGCTTTCAAAGTTCTTGGTCTCAGAATTTACTTTCTTACAATGAAAACTTCCAAAAGTATTTTTTTAAAAATGTGGGCTGTAGCTGTCAATATTTACTATATTAAAAATTCAGAGAAGTGTCTACTCATTTGTGGTAACAATATATAACATCATTTATGAAATGTGTATCACTTTCAAAATAAAAATAAAGGTAAATAGGATTGTTTATGCTTGCAATTCTCTTTAATAGAAGACACCTGTATTTTCTTAAGTGCTTCTGTAGTCTGATGCGGCACGTTTTTTTCCTCAATGTGTATGAAGAAAATACAGCCTCACACAAACATATAGTTAGAAAAAAGAGGAATATTTTAGTTGCTTTTCCTGATACAATTATACAAGGTGTTTTCCTTTTCTACTACCGCCAAACTCAACAACTGGTCACTTCTTAGCCATTATCTGTACTATGGAATCTAAAACCTTCAGTGAAATTTTCCTCCTCTATTTCAAGACTATCTTTATCTCTATTTTTATTTGAATAAATCTTTTACCCAGGAATGACTTTGTAACATCAGGCATTGGTCATTTGGAAAATATTAATTCACTGAGTCCCACAGATTTTCTAAGTATTGACCTATTTCATTATACAATATCAAAACCTGCATTCACTAATATCACCACTGAGTTTATCAGAAAAGTTTTTAGTATTGGGAAGCTGTTAAGTTCAGAGAGGCAAATAGGAGTTTTTTGAAATTCTAATTTGTCCTTGAAAGCTTGCATGGTCTTGGCAAAAAATACTGCCAGTTGCTTTTCTTAGATTGGCAGACTCACTTTGTTCATTTTTCAGACAACGTCTGCCAAATACCGCAGTGTGAAAAGCATAATGTTTGTCATTAATTCATCTTGCAACTCAAACCAATCACTTGAGTGCTCTTTCTCATGACAGTCATGGTTATGTAGCAGAAGTACTTAACAGCATACTTCCCATTTTGTTCCATGTAATATAAAAAGATGTGTATTCAAGTATTAAGACAGTAAAAATAATAGTTTTTACTCCATCAAGGATATTCTTATGTGAAACTGTCAAAAAAAAC